GAAAATTAACGCCTAATCAGAAAAAATCAGAACAATTGGAAATCATGCCAATATGCGCATGTTAATATCACACAGCTTATTGTCATTTTTATTGAAAAGTGATAAATTGCAGCCACTTCTAAATTTCTAATATTATAAACCAGTGACAGTGAGTCTCGAAAAGACATGGGCCACCACAGCATTTTTGGATTTAGCTATACAGACCCAAAATAATACAGAACATGATTTTTGCAGGCCTATCATATCGTAAAAATGGGCGTAGAACCACCTTTCTCAGTTTTTTTCAGCGTTTCCGAGTTTTCCGTCAATGGATCACGCCTCCCTCCAGGCAGTGTAAAAAAAAATCATGTACAATTTTTTATAAACCAGTGACAGTGAGTCTCAAAAAGACATGGGCCACCACTGCATTTTTGGATTTAGCTATACAAACCCAAAATAATACAGAACATGATTTTTGCAGGCCTATCATATCGTAAAAATGGGCGTAGAACCACCTTTCCCAGTTTTTCAGCGTTTCCGAGTTTTCTGTCAATGGATCACGCCTCCCTCCAGGCAGTGTCAAAAAAATCATGTACAATTTTTATTTTTCTCTGGAGTTCTCCTTCAGAGATCCTACAGGTTTCTTTATTGGATTTTGGATCTTAACTTTCAAGTGATATCCTTGAAATTCTTCTCTACTATAGAGCATAACATTAACCAAAATCTATCAAATAATTCTTAATTTCTTAATAAAGCCTATCTGATAATAGGTATTTACGCAAGAGAAGGGCAATTCGGATAGCGCCCTACCGTATTGTTTACTGCGGTCTCACGCTCTGATGAGCACAAAACCTTACGCAACAGGACCGTCTTCCTGTCCTGTTGCTAAAGTGCCTTGGGTCTGAGTGTTGACATTAAACCAAATGTGTCAGTTATACTGACAGTCGGGTATTTAGATTTATTTTATTTCATTTTATTTCACCCCCATCAGCGGAAACGCCAATAACAACAGGGAGCATACAATAACAAATCACAGCGAATAATATCGATAAAATCACAATAGAAACATTCAAAAATATCAAAAACAATACAAAAATATTCAGATTAAATCAATTTACAATAGTTACTAATATAAATTTAATTCCAGAGCAGTTGATGATCAAATGACTAGTTTAAGTTGGGCTAAAATGAATGAAGGGGTTGGTGAAAAATATCAATTGATGGCTCATTGTTTGTAACAGAATTATATAGAGGAAAGTCTAGTGATACATCCATTTTAGGTTATGTTATCTGTTATACTATACAAAGGGATTGAAGATTCAAGTGGCAGAAGTATGTCTGCACGTAATTTTTATTTGTACAATCACAAGTATTTTTATAGATAAAGGCCAGATACCTTTAAAATGAATACCTGAATCTCTCAGACAAGAAGGCCTTTAAGTGAACAGTTAAAAGGCCAGTTCAGTTGGTATTTAAAACATAACATGTATGCCTACTGTATAGCGCTTTTCTTTGCAAGTGCGAATCACTGTAGTAACCGCACTCTTAAGTCCAAAACCCCACCTTATAGGCCTAATATACCAAAACCAAACTAAGCACGCATACAATGATACAGGAAATCCAAGAAATGGAGTTCATTATTGGCAATTAAAACGTAAAATACATTGTCAATAAACGAATAATATGGGTGTTTAGAAATGTGTTTAGAGTCTAAATATTGTTTATAAAGTGAGGTAATTTTGAAAAATTTTTGGCCTACGTACTGTATTTATGAGAAAACACAATGACTATAGAGTCAATTTAACGCTCTTTCTTGCAACTGTTAACCACACTCCTAAGTCGAAAACCCCGCCTAACAAAGCTTGCTAGACCAAACTCAAACAAGCACTCATACCTTAAATAATGCAATGCAGAAAATCCAAGCAATGGAATTCGTTATTAAATCGTACAAAAAATTGTCAATAAACATTGAAAATAAGATGATATTTTAAACATTGTAGCAATGTGGTAGGCATAGGGAATTACTTTATGTTGGAAAATAACGAGATGGTTAATTTGCTGTTCTCTAAACGTATTGTCGGCAGATTCGGCAGTGGACACGTTTTAGTGGGGCATTGCATGGGACCTGATGACTCTGCCCTGTAATTCCCATTGATGTTCTCCTTTTATTTCAGCTGGAGGACTGAATGCATGTTACGATAGCGCACCCTATTAAGTTGCAGACGTACCTTGTTTAAATAATATATTTTTACTATGCGGCTCTTTGTAGCCCTAGCTAGGCAAGGCATTCATGTGCAAAGCAGTGGTGTTTGTTTATCCATGAAAAAAGCACGCCGGGAAAGTTTGCCTTACCATGAAAAGGTGATGTAATCTAGCTTATGACGTATGGGTATGCATACTAACTACGGTATATAGCGTGAGTGTGACGTCACCAAAAAATAAAAAATTTCTATTATAACCAAAATATTAATAACTACAAGGTTTGTGGGAGTAAATTCCCTTAACACGAATTAAGGGTAGCACCATCTCCTTGCCATACAAATTACAGCTCCCATTGATGTCTCAGTCGAGAACACAGGTAGCTGAAGTTTTTCTCGAAAATCTGACTACGAAACCAAATCGGAAATTCACGTTCCACTTCTGACTCTTGAGTTGTGCTTCGCACACGCCGCTGAGGGCGGCATTCCGGGAACCCTGCGTCGCGTATGTGATACAGACTGTATCACAATCTTGTAATGGCAAAATAAAATAAGAATGAGTTGGATATTGTCAATTTCACTCTTCTTTTTATGCATGATTTTTATTTTTTTTTAACTGCCATTGTACACTAAAATATATTTAACTAAAAGATATGTACTTTTCAACCTTATGTTTATTTATTTGCTTTGTTATGTATACCATGACACTTCACTTTGACGGTATATGATTTTCAAAAATCCGTATACCGTACTCGCGCAAATAAGCGCCCTGTTTGAATATCCGCCCCTCCTAACGTGAAAATTTCCTTAAGCGCCCCGTTTGAATAAGCGCCCCTAGAATAATATCATAAGATTTACTTTTTAGCAAGTCAATAATCCAATCGATTCTAGGACTCTGGTTTTCTGCAGAGTGGAATCACATTCTTCTTAGCTCAATATCAAAATGAGGATGTTTCTCTTGGACAGATGTCCTTATATAATCTTTTTTCATTCAAAAGGTGCCTCTGGAATTTAATAAGTTCCCATTATAAGAACCCCTCGATTTTCATCTATTTCCATAAGCACCTAAATTATATTACATAGCCTACAAAGCAATAGGCCCTTGTGTCATCAATGTCACAATATAACATAGAGTATTATAGAACAATACATAATGAGGAATAATTTGAGGGAGGGAGTGAACAATACATAATGGGGAATAATTTGAGGAATGGGGTGGATCAACTTGACTCGCCTGGCCTGGTATTGCATTGTATGTACCCCCTCCCCCAGCAGATTCAGACTTCACGGAAGCCATTTGACATTGGTGTCCCACTGTTAGTACTAGCTACCTAGAATCCCACCTAGTCTATTCTAGGGGTGATTATCCTAGCCTAGGCCTGGTATAGGTGGCCAAGCTCATATTGGTCAATATTGCTTGTCTATATTTTGGTCGCTACACCATATACTTTAAGTCACAGCGTTGACTTTAAAGCCCCATTCCCGGCAAAATTTCAGTTTTTAAGAAAAATCTAATTTTTGTATAATGTTATAAAGATTTATAAATATAATACGGAATTGCTAGTTTAACTGAATTTAGACATTCCTAAGAATGAAAAAAATGTAAATTAAGACTGAAATTTGATTTTTTTTGTGTTCCACACAAAAAATAAATGCGGATGAATTGTTCATGTTGATTTTGCGATAGGTCGTGAGAAGAAATATCGTAGGCGCCGAAAACATTAGCCTATCCAACGCTGTTAGGCTAGGCCTAGCCTTACCTCGATTTAGGTTCTGTTATCACACATAAAAACGGCCGACATGAT